AGAGGGAGACGAACATTGCTGTGTATTTAAAAAAAAATGTATTGTATTGCAGAATTGTGGGGAGTTTTTTTCTATTTATTTATTCTTTCAAACTTATAAAGATGTGTGTTTCATCTCCGAAATTCATTTCTTACAGGCTTCCTGGAAAGACATTGTTTTTCATCATACCAAGAAAATCATCATTTCACTCAGTGATTTGAAATGTTCTATGCACGAACATGACAGAAATTTCAGCCTCTGACTACCTGTTGTCATACTGCTATTTTAGAGGCCTTATGTTTGTCATAACTTTCCTCTCTCAAGTAAAGTTTATTTTAAGCCAAGAAAAGATAAAGAGCAGATTTGATAATGTGTTGATTATATAATAATTTTATGATCACTAAAATAAAGATGTATATAAGGAAACCTAGTATCATTCCCCTCTCGACATTTGTCCTCACTAACTGAAGATTGTGTAGATTAAAATAAAATCGCCTTTTAATTCAAGCTATTCTAGTCGAAAAAAGTGAATGTGATATTCAAAACCACTTGACTTGAATAACATACACTGCAAATTTTTTAAATGATTGTAAAAAAAATAAGCTACTCACAAATGAGAAACAGCAAGGTAATGAGAAAGCATCATTGTCTCTTGATTTTTAAGACCTGACCTCCAACACTGAGCGGAAAATAGCCATTGATTTTCTTTAAAACAAAGAAACATTAGGTCATTAGTGGCCTTGCGGTCGTACTTCGGCCCAGATTCATAAAGGTCCTACAAAAATTGGGCGAGATTACCACACTCTTCTCGTAAAATCTACTTTCATTGTTGCTATTGTTGTAGTTGCTACACATCTGTATCTGTGTACACTGTCTTGAGGGGGAGGGAGAGAGGAGAGAATGGTAGGGTATGGTGTATGTAATGGTTACAAAGCAAAATAAATGTGTTTGACATCATTGGTCATATAGCACTATAGAAAGGAGTGTAAAATGTAAAGAAGGAGGTTAGTTGATAATTAAATTTGCCTCAGAAGTCGTATAGCAGTTCATGAAAGAAGGGATTAACAAGGGTGATTAGATGAAAATTGTCAAAGGAAGAAATGTGGAATTTGGCAAGGATGTCCGTAGGGTAGGGTGTGGGTTAGCAACCTCTAGGCCAATTAGATCACAGTTTCAGGAGAACATGTCAGCAGGGAGAGAATCCAGGGAAGGGGGCTGTTGTGAGTTAGTCATGTGTATTCAGGGGAAGCGGAAGGGATAATGAGGAAGGAAAGGGTGATTATGCAGCTTAAGGAGGGGGACATAGGATGTGTTGAGAGGGAGTGGGAAGAAGGGGTGCAAATGAGTTCTTATCTTGGGGTTATGATTAGATACCTTTGAATGTCTTCGAGTTTCTGCACTGGAGCTGGTTGGGAGGTTCCTTACGAGGGAGAAGAGGGACAGGTGTTTGAGGGGTAGAGAGAGAAACTGGAGTATTTGGAATCGTGGTGGAGACTGGGGTGTCTGGATTTAGAAAAAAAAATGACTGGGAGAGGAAAGGGGGGGTTGAAGAGATACTGGGGGAGATGTAGGTGTTGTCTGCCTTCGCGTAAAATAAGGCTTAAACTTGTAGGTAGGGACAGGCCCTGTAAAATACATTATGGAGCAGCCATATTTAGCGCATATTCGTGACTGTACAACTAAGTTTGATCGATTAGGGCCAGGTTTAGCACAGAGGGGGTATTGGGCTGTGGAACGTAGGGTGGCCGAGACGCCAACAATTTAGACGTTGACTGGGGAAGGTTGATATGGTAGGACAGGGACGGACTCTCTGCCAGTGTAAACATTAAAGGGGAGGTCATCATGTCTAAGGCTGTGTTTACATCAAGCGAATCGAATCGATTCAGTTCATGAAGAATCAACACCATTCATGTTGATTCGCCACACTAGTGTCAATGTAGTCATTTACACCAGGCGAATCGATTCAATTCAAATCCTGCTGATTCATGGCGACTCAGAATCAATGATGGATTTGGACCCATTTTTTCATCAGTCAAGGCGAGTGACCTCTTCCTTGGACGTCAGCCCTCGGCTCAACTAATTTTGTATGGTCTTTTCTTCTCCTTTCGTTTTCCTTCTCTTCATTCCCTTTTCTGTCCACTTAGCCTAATCGCTAACTCATTTTTACCTTTTTCGCCACAATGCTTTGTGGTAATGATGTGTGACCTTTGATGCCTGGCACATTTGTTTGTCTTGACCAGTGACCTTTATGGAAATCCACAAACATCGCCTTGAGAACAAAAAAAAAAAAAAACTTTTTAGTTGTCCCACCCTATCGCTATATTTTAAATACGCCACTTTACGACCTTAGATGTTGGTGCGGCGGATTTTTTCAGCAAACTAATAGATCATGTAAATGATAGAAGAAAGGTCCATGCTATACTTCCAAATTGCAAGTTGTGTGTTGAAGATACAAAAACGCTTTCTCAGTATGCAAGTGAATGCAATACATTCACTGCTTATAAGTTTTCAATACAAGGAACTTTGATACTTTACCCTAACTGTACATACTATTTGTAATGAACAAAAACGTCCATACTCCTCGAAGGCTGTTTTGGTAATGAATGAGGTGCTGATCAAGATGACTATTCAAATTCATGAATTGAATCGATTCGCCTCGTTTGGTGTAGACGCAGCCTAAGTAATCCTAGTAATATTGATGGGGGACTTCCGTCAGCCTCTAAGGGGGGGGGGGGTGATGTAGCATTGTACAGAGACCACGAGGCAGGAGATTAAATCTATTCCATTATCTGACAATCCTTGTAGATAGTGCAGTTTGTGGAAAAATGGAGACTGTTCCGGTACAAGTATTGAGGGTGGGATGAGGGTAGCCAGTGAAGTCTGTCAAGGTTGATAATGCTTTAGGTTGTGTTTTAGATGTAAGTGAAGGAAACTTGCTTTTGAAGATCTTGCTGGAAGAGTAAGGAGCGGTGTGAGTGGGGGGGGCCACAAAAAAATCTGTTCCATTTGGCTGGGCTAAAGAGTATTTAAGACGTACGTAGAAGGGGGAGTTGTATGACGTTGGTGTGGAATAGTGCAAAATCAATGGAGTTGAGGGCCGAGGCCAAGGCAGGATCCCAGTCTGTCTCCTAAGCCCTCCTACGACAACGGGTAAAGATTTGAGAGAATGGTTATTGGTTAAAAAAAAAAAAAAAGGTCATAGCAGTGGTAAGTATGGTGGCGAAAAGGGTACGAGTTAACGGTAATGGGAAGACCATGAGAAATCAGTTGAGGCGAGGGCTGAGGACCAAAGTTGGGAGGAGTCAACTTTTGCTCACAATATAATGTGAACTTCCAGAATGGTTAGTAGTCAAAACTAATGTGCCAGACATCAAAAGTATTGTGACAAAGAGGGAAAAATGAGAAAGATTAGGAATAGTGGATAGATGAAGGGGATGAAGAGAAGAGAAAAAGTAAAGGAGGCGAGGGCTGTGGACCAAGGTGGGGGTGATCCCACACTGGGCCTGTCTACTTCTAAGCTCCCCCCCCCCCCTCTTCCACCACGACGACAACGAGCAAGGGACTGGGAGGGTAAATAGTTAAACTGCTCGTTTGTATACCGGAAGAAATAATTTACTCGAAGGTGCACAGCAAACCAGCAACAGACCACCCTAGACAATTACAATTCTGGCTGCATACTTAGCCTGGGGTAGCTTATGAGGGTGGGTTTCAACATACCAAAGGCTGGTTAGATGAAAATGCAAGAGGAAAGTCCAATGAACTTTTATTCGAGTTTATACACAACTATCAAAAATATACATGTCCACAGTAGGTTTACTTAGGTCGGATCAGGTGCTGCATAAATTTAACCAACTGGCAATATAAATGTACTTAAAAGGTTATGGAAAAAAATTGTTTCACCATTCCAAAGTTGCAAAGTTATTTACATACAGTAACAATCCAGTTTGTTATATACAGCTAAAAAAATCTAGCTTCAAGATCATTACGTTTAATATCCATCTTTGTTGCGAACTTGATACCAAGGATGACGATGCTTCCAGTTGGAATCTATCTGCGTTTATTAATCTTCACTGCAAGGAAGAGGAAAAAAAATGTTAGTACTAAGCAACAACAGTTCAAAGACTATGTGCATTAAAAATTTCAGAGAGCTGAGTATATATATTATATCACAATTGATCAAATATAGGATAATTCTCATCAGTATCTAATATTCAAATTAAACATTTTATACAAATTTACACACCGATAAACTGCCCTTCATGCCGTACCCGTGTCTCCCATTCCTTGGATTGCGCTCGTACACTTCGTTCTGGGAAAATTCAGAAACTAAATTAATATATTGCATGATTGGTATACCTCAAAATATATTTAATACAGATTTCAGAGAGCTGGGTGTGTTTTCAGCTTGTGTCAAATAATTTGAACTAGTTTTCCATCATTTTAATCATAGTGTTCTTGAGAAGCCAACTCTTACTGCACAAAGAATTGTATAACCTAATGAGTATTAAGGCTTTGTATATATGCCATGTCCACCAAGTTCTATGGTTTATGCAAGACTATTTCAAAGGTGATAAAATGATAACCAAAAGTCCATTTTTAAGCCCACTTGCTCTGAACAGTTAACTTCCCTTGAATAATAACAATAATAATAATAATAATAATAATAATAATAATAATAATAATGGAGCCACAAACTTCTCAGAATATATCCAATATCTTACGAGTTACAAAATTACACAATAGAGATTGCAAATATACATACCTGTAGAAGTTGCTCCATTATCTCAATCACCGAGCTGTTCACTAGATGTCATCCCGTACCTGTAAATTTAAAACCAATTAACATCTAAACAACAATGGTTAAACTGAGCACACATTCACTATCAATTTCAGAGAGCTGGGTGTGTTTTCAGTTTGTATCAATATATTGAACTAGTTGTCCATCATGTAATTTCATTTTTAAATAAAGCTACTTCCATTCTTGGCTGGATTCTACATACACAAAACTAGTGTTAAACACTGTATACATGCCCTGTTCACCTATTTTAGTTTAACTTTTAGACAACTCCAGTGCCCAGTCATCACCGAGTCGATTCCTGGGTGTAGCCAATAACACTATTTAACCAACAAGTATATTTTCCAGGAAGCTTTATCAAACAGTATTACAATATGATAGTAATGACATTAAAAGCCTTGAAAAGGTTTTCCAGGAAAAATTAATTGTAAAACTAATGAGGGCAGGTAACCCTGGAAACTACCTTCATGGTGACTAGAGCCATGTTAATGCAGAGAAATTGGTAAAATACAATAAACAGTGCATGTATCCAGTTGATTAACATTTAATAGGTTATTAATACATACCATCAGTCTATCTGAAGATGGATTCTCAATGCTGCACCATCTCCTAGCAAACAATGAATCTGAAATGAAAGATATGTAAGGATTGGACCAAAAATTGTCCCTGTAACTTGTCACACTGCAGTTTCAGAGAGCTGGGATTAGTTTCAAGATGTATCAATTTAATGAACTAGATGTGCATCATGTTTGGGGTTATTAATATACTACACCAAGAGGATTCATACCTTTGTTTCATGCTCAAACTTCATCTACAGGACATCTGAAAAGAAAGGTTTTCAATATTTCTTCCTAGATTAGTACCTAGATGTATGCAAAATGAAAGCAATTTCAGAATGTACTTGCCACAATGCCTGGCATATGATATAATATCAGTAACAAAAATGAAATTCACTAAAAAACAAAGCCCTCCCAGTCCTAGATTTTACATGCAAATGAATTTGGGCAATCAAAAGAAAAAATGTTGAACATCTACCAATTTTGAGACCAAATACAGGAAAAATTAAATCTCTTGCCTGAAGTACTAAAGACTAGGCCAATCCAACCCAAATAGGCCCTCCTAAAAGGCTGTAGAATAAAAAAGGCCCAGCTGTACAAAAAATACTTACCTAAGTCAGGAATGAACAAGAGGAAATCACATTCAAGATTATACTTTGGATAAGGAAACAAAGGCTTCTTGCACGGTTTATTGTTAATCAAATCATTGCCTGGTTTGCTTTACTTGGCCTTGGCCTTGGTCTTGTCCTTCTTGCCAGACTTGCTCCTTGGGTGCTGCTTCCTGAGCCTCTTCACACCCTTCTTCGCCTTCTTCTTTCTTGGCTTTTCCTTCTTGACTGGCTTTTCCTGGGGAGGAAACATTACACATTTAGAAACATGATAAAAAATAAAATAATATTAACATTTGGGCATCCAGAACCACTGAATTAAAACTAAAAGCTCCGTCTACTTACCACTTTGGGCTTTCCGGCCTTCTTTGCCTCGATGTGCTTGGCTTCGACAGCCTGGGCCAGTTTCTTCTCAACACGGTGGAAGGGGTTGAGTTCCAGCATGGCCTGGTAGTTAGTCAATGGGTTTGGCTTCACCTTGCTACGGACAATGGTCTTGCTGCAAAGAAAATGGGTTGTGTCAGCATATGCCCTATTTTACCATAATACCTAAAGCAAAGAAAATTGATTTGTCAGCATGTGCCTTATTATACCACAATACCTACAAAGCAACTTAGTAATAGGAATCTTTAATCTTCCTAACAAAATACGTACTTTGGCTTCCTAATGACAGACTTGATTTCATCTGACTTCAGGAGCCTGGACAAATCTGTGTTGGTCATCTTAGACACTGGCAGATTGTATCCCTTCTTGTGCTTAGCCTCCTTGCGCCAAGTTCCGTAGAGAGCATCCAGCTTGCGGAAAGCTAAGGAGAGCAACATCTTAGTACACACCAAAAACAGGGATTAGCATACATCAAAGGTATATCAGCAGAAAATTTGCAAGGCTTTGAACAGTGATGAAACTTGGCTTACCATCCTCAGTCCAGATACAGAATCTCCCCACATGGCCACCAGGAGCAAGCTTCAACAGGTTCAGCTTGTCTACACAGATGGTCTCGACACCAGGTACGTTGCGGAAGGCTCTGGTCAGGCCCTGGTCATTGTTGTAGATGACCAGAGGTCCCTTCCTCTGGATGCGACGGCGGTTGCGCATCTTACCCCTGCCAGCACGGAACCTCTGACTCTTGTACACCTGTAAGGCAGACAAGGGTATTAGCAAAGACCTTAAATATCTTGTGCCCCATCACTATAATCCACTCAATTTGTTAACCATTGCAATTCCAAGAGCTTACCTTGAGAACATCGGTCCAAGCATGGTGCTGCCTCAGGAGAGCAACAGCCTCCTTGGTCTTTGTCAGCTCCTGGGCCTTGTTGCTAACAACTAGGGGCACCTCAGGCACTTCCTGGATCATGTGACCTAAAAAATTAAAAAATACAAGTTAAAAGCTACAAGGAATTAAAAATTAAATGTGCATTCAAAAGCCAGTTACTTCAACTATGAAATCCTATTAATCTAAAACTCACCCTTTGACATAACCAGAGCTGGAATGCTTGAGGCAGCAATGGCAGAGCACATGGCGTAACGCTTCTGGTTGACGCCAACGCGGCGGTGCCAGCGG